ACCAGAAAACTGGTAATGTGATCAGATAATCAACAGATTCAACAGCTGCCGGTATTGGGAGAATAAAGAACTAAATAAAGGAAAAAGACTTTACCAATTTTTTTCATTCTAATTTTCAACAGACTGTTAAATTTCCGATAGAATCATTCTCGCTTGGGTTGGTACACCGCAGAATTTTAGTCCTATTCATCCAGATTGGAAAGTGACAAAAAAAAAAAAAAAAAAAAAAGGTTCGTGCTTGTTTTGCAGCTAACTGTAACAGTTTCAATATTCGAGATTTTGCGGAGAAAGGGGAGAACCTCCCAACCTTCGTACTGTATAATGTATTGGCCAAAAAAATGAAATTATTTTGACTATACGTTACTTTCCCTTTAATGAAGCCATTCTGAATATTATTCCTTAGAAAGCTAATCTGTGTTAAAACACAACCATTTTTGGAAGTTTACTATACTTCAGCAGTTACTGCAACTATGTTATTATAAACATTCATACATACGCTCATAATATAAGCATAACGATCATAATAAACACGAATATGAACTGACCAAGAGGAACGAGAATGCAAATTATTAAGATCTTGATAGAAATTCAAACGTGTGTAGTATTTGGGTGGGAGGAAAAGAATGCCGAATGTACCGGAATTTTCTACTGCTTTCGCAATTCTTTGACCAACAGAACGACGGGCACCTGTCTGTACTCTCTGCGCACATCAAAGGTTATGTTAATGCAGAGAAAGGGAGAAAAGCTATTTCCGGGAGTATGATTCCTTCCATTCCATAAGAGGAAAAGTTGCGCGGCTTTGGGCGGGGAAAAATGCACGTTCATTAAAAAAAAAAAAAAGCATTAAAAGCAAAAAATAAGCACTAAAAACAAAAAAAAATAAAAGCTTTAAAGAAAAAGTAAGCACCTATAACGGCCTTTATATTTTATTTTCAAATATAAGGACTTATAAGCACTTATAAGGACCGCTACAAACCCTGAGCAATATGCTAAGGCCTGACATTAGCTGTATAACTTATTATGTATAATGCAGTCAAAAGTCGTTAATTCGGACACCCATAATCCGGACCTCAAGCTACAACTTTCTGCGCATGCGTCCGTTGAAAGCGGAAGACGAAACGGCTGCGAATATGGTGTACGGAATGCGCGTAATATGTTCCGCTTGGCGTTTTAATGATAACGGACGGTATAAGTAAGCTAAAATTAGCCTAATTCAGTTTATGTTGCAGATGCGTTGTTCCTAAATCTTCGAATGGATCGGCTTATTATTTTTGCAGACTGTAAGAGGAAATTTATAAAAGAAGCTTGAATTTGATTATGTCAATAGAAATTCGAGGCTGGTATGCCAAGGGATTACAAAGCGAAAGTATTTTCGATGTCCATCAAACAAAAAGTGGAATTGCTGCAAAATGGATAAAGGTATTCTTGTTTCTCTAACCATTCCAAAATCTGTTTATCAATTTCAGGCTGCTTTGCTGGGGAGGGGAACGTCGCGGCGCGCAATGAAATGGAAGTTGATCTGTTGATCTGTCGGCAATATCCTTATTTTCAGGGCAGATGTTTTTATTTTATTCTGCGTGTAGTTCATTACTAAATGTAGTATTTCATCTCGATGTACTCCATCTTTGATATGATTTAAATCAAATTCCTCGTCATTATAATTTGCTTCCAATAAAGAAGAAAGTGATACAGAGGTTATTGAAAACGAAAAAATTTCGATTGACAAATTAGTCGGTATTCTCGACACTACAATTATAGAACTTTAACAGCGGAATTTTGTTAACTGAAAAGAAATTATGTCTGTCTATAGAATTAACGAGAAAGTATTATTACATAAACGAAGCAACTTAAAACAACTTACATTGAAAGAAATGTTTAATAAGTAAACAAATAAATATAAGCTTTTTTTTTTTTTGTAAATTTTGATCCCTTTAGATCATAATGTTTATTCATAAATTACGGTTTTTATTTTTAATTTTATAATTTCGATGCCATCTTACTAGATTTAAAACTCTGACTATAGATCCGGAAAATCAATAATGAAGGAAAGCCGAAGCCCCGACGAGTCCGGATTAACGACTTTTGACTGTATATAGCATGCGTGTTTTCTGCTTCAGAATGATACATATCTGAAGCTATACATAGCTTCACATAACATGTATGCATGATTGTGAACAGGCATGCATGTTACGTATTGTCACATAACATAATGCCACAATATGGCATAATGAAATACTGTCACATAACATAATAAAGTCCATTTGAGAAAGTAATTATGGCCTCAGTACAAGCATTTGTGTTGATATAAATACTGATCATGATATTGGCACAATCACAACCTTGGTCTTTCATATTTTTTCACTCCCATATAGTAGCTATGACAGTTTCCACAGCAATTTTTTTCACATCAGTGATTCTGTAACAGAGTAGTAGTCATAATAATGTAATAAATAAGAGAAATCTGTAATAGCTGGCATCTTTATGGTAAAATAGCTTGGTGAATTATTTAGAATACAGCCATCTCAGGTATTTTTAATACACTTGCTAATTGTTCTTTGCCAAAAAATTCTTTTTAATTACAATATAACTTTTATGGATGTCATTTTCATTCCTAATTTCCTTTGGAATAGTTTCAGTTAGACAGAGATGTAATTCTTTTGCTTGAGGTTTGATCCCAGAATGTACATGATTTTATTTTATTTATTTATTACAAAATATTTATTTCTTACAAATTTGATTAGGCTTCTTCAAAAAACATACCTCTTGAGCCATTGAGGTTAATCACCAAGTATATGCCAAGTAACGCAGTAGCAAATGCATGTAGTGTTTAGGAAGGAACTAAATACAGGCATGCTGAAGTGGATCATTTATTTCTCAAAATGTTGATGCAATAACTAAATCACAAATGTTTTAAAGACCACAACAAATAAAAGATATTTTAATAAAATTGTGTTTAAATTTTATTAAGTATAATGGAAAAAAAATACGTGTAAGAAGTTTTAAAACAATTTTCTACGTAAAGTTTTGGCTTTTCTTCAAAAATTGGATAAAAATATCTTGTTTCACATCTTATCTTTTATCCAGTGCAAACTCAACATAGTATTTTAGGTTGGGCCTTTTTCTATATTGACGGAAATGCTTCCAAATAGTGGAAATTGTCATTTTTTTTCTCTTACAAGTTCATTTCGTTTATATCTATATTTAAATAATAAAATAACAAAAAATAATTTAAAAGAATAAAAATGCAGATAAGATTTTAAGGTACTTTTCCATTTTGCCGGCGCAAGCGATAAAGTCGCCAATAATGGTACAACCCATGCCAAACGGAATATTCTCGCTGGTAATACGCATCATTTTCAAAACAAGTCGCAGCTTTTTCTTATCAGATTGATTGTTTATTTCAATACTGGCATATAGAATACATAGAATTTTTATCAGATAGTTCAGTTTTATGTCTAAGGCCATTTTCGGTAATTAAGTCAATTAAGATGCAATCACAGCGCTTACCCGAAGCCGAAAATATAGAAAAGGTAAAGTCAAGGGTTAAATTCATTCATTCTAATGAGAATGCATTAGCGAAGTAAAGCACTGCAGTTTTATACAATTTCTGAGTAAGCTATTCGTACGAATTGAAATATTTCTTGCATTTAAACTTGTGTTCCAAATTAAGATTTAATTTGAAATTAATGTAGATAATTACTGAGAGCATTAGATTTTTGTAGAGTAGTTTACGTGAGATGAGATCGCTTGGGGTCACGTGATAGGAACCAGCGAATCAGGATGTTGAACCATGAAAGCATAGTAAATTCTTAAATTACCATGAAAGCATAGTTGAACCATGAAAGCATAGTAAATTCTTAAATTTATTGTCTTTATTTATTGGCTTTTTATAAAATTTTAAGCGATATTAAAATGCCTTCTCTTTTTAAAAAAATTCTTAGAACTAACATTTTTTTTAATATTTTTTATGTGTATACTGTATGTTGTCGCCAATAAAGTTTGCTTGGCGAGATTTGCGCCGGTGAAACGGAAAAGTAAGTACTAATTTTAATAGTGTGAACGGATGCAAATCAGCTTTAGTAGCAAATGTGTTAAAAAATATGCATTAAATGAAAATTCATCATTTGAAGAAAATGGCTGCATATGTTAGCTTAAAATAAAAAGGGAAAGAAAATAGACTAGAAGAGAAACACGCTAATGTGACAATCAAAATGGTCAAAACAACCTTGTATTTAGTGTAAGTATAATGAAACACTCAATCGATTTCGAGGGCAGCTAAAGGTCCCTCCTCAATGGGGTTTATGCTTGATCAGATAGCCTGGCTCAGTAAAAGAAGGCGGCCAGTGCAACTCTGATTAAAAATCCAGTTATGCTGATAAGGACATGCAGTGCTGATAAGGACCACATGTTTCTGAGACTCCTTCCCCTTTATTTTCTTCTTTCTAGGTATTTCTTTCTCCTGATGAAGAGGGACCTTTAGCTGCCCTCGAAATCGATTGAGTGTTTCATTATACTTACGCTAAATACAAGGTTGTTTTTACCATTTTGAAGGAAAGAAATATTCACAGTTAAATTTATCATCATAAAATGCTATCAGCACAGTTTATGATTTTACCAAATCATTTTCTTAGTTTCAAGCCACTTCATTTCTTCATTATGTTTATATAAACATTTTCAGTAATTTAGTCAAGAAATTTAATTTTCTGTAAGACCCATATTTAAAATTTTAATGACTTATCCTACATGTTTAGATGCAAACAAGTACCATACACAAGATTTTACTCTGAAATTTCTTAAAGTGTCTAAAAAATTCAGTGCACTTTTTATATTCATTATGTGCTTTTTGTAGCTGAGCAATCAAGCAATTTAAGTTTATTTATTGTTCAATATTATTTTTTCAAACTTTCAAGGTTCATTCGATCAATTCACAAAAATGTGATATTTCAATTATATGTACTATGTTCTAAGTGTAGTTATTTTGTTACTTAAAGTTTCATAAATGTGCTTATCATAATTTATTAAAGAAAATAACAATAAAATACAAAATTTCAAATACAAATAAAAATTAAAATAAATCTAAATGGACTTGATGAAATGATTAAAATTCTAAGTGAGGAATGTGCAAAAGGCAGGTTATCACTGTTCGAACCTTTCAGCTTCTAGCTTTTTGTACGAAACAAGGAAAAGCACCTGCAAAAAAGAAAAAATTTTTTATCAACTGTCACAAATTAAAAGATTTAAAATTTGATTAATTTTGCATTTTATTACACTAAAATGTAAATTATGTAATATTTCTTTATGTTTTACTGGTTTCAAACCATTCCCTTTACTCATATTAATGTCATAAATTCAAACCTGCACTGAGCCTTTCACACAACTTTTATTTCTTATGCAGAGGTGCAAAAGTTTTGTTTTTATTTAAAAACTTACAAAATATTTATTTTGGTATTACAAGAGCTGTAGGAAGTAGTTCAGATCTGGGCAGAGCTTCAGAAATGATAGTGGCATTTAAAAAAAAAAAAAAAAAAAAAAAAAAAAAAACTCTTTGACAGGCATATTCAAGAAAAGAAAGGGGAAAAGGCTCCCTTCCCATTATGGAATGTACAAGAATAAGTTGCTAAAATATTGTACACTTCTTATACTCATTTCTTTGTTTATATTCATTCTACAAGCACTTTGATATTAAGACAAAGTTATCTACACTGTTGGGAAGATTTTCTGTGATATGAAAAAGTCATAAGATCCTCTGGATTTTAAGTACCACAGCACTCTGGATTTGACCATTTAGATGCTCCCACCACATCCTTTATTAATGCACACAATATGCATCTAGCTACCCTACATCAAGAGTGAGTAAAAAAAAAGAGCAACAACAAACTTCATTCCAATTAACAAATAATGCACAACTACTAAACTATACTATCTCTTAGGGTATATGAATCAAAAGAGCATTTAAGAATAGCATGGATAACATGTTTTAAAGTACCCAAGAAATAAATAAACAAATGTTGTAAAACTGTTTAAAAGTCTCAACAATTGTTACATTATCCACAAATAATTCATTTTGGAATTTGCAAAGCAAATTTTAGCAAATTTCTTTATAAGTTAAAAGGCTTATAATACATATACTTAGGGAAAGGATGTTTCAAAACACACTACTTCTGCAGTAGCATATTTTGAGAACTCATAAAAACAGAAAAACTGAACAGAAATGTAATAGCTTGGTACTTATGGATTAGATCAAAAGTTCCTTTGTGATTTGAAATATTGCTCTCTTTTGCATATAAACTATTTCAAGCTTTCGATTGTACAAAAATTTTTATACAGAATGAACTTTAGGGCTGCGAATATGCGTGTGCGCATGCACATAATACGTTTACACATGTGCGTTTAATGTATAATGGACGGTATAAGCTAAGCTAAAATTATCTAATTCAGTTAATGTTGCAGACAGCGTTGTTTCTTAATCTTCGAATTGGATCCGGCTTATTATTTTTTGCAGACTGTTAGAGCAATTTTATAAAAGTAAGCTTGAACTTTCGATTATGTCAAATAGAATTTCCGATATATATTTACTAATATGTAAAGGATCTACAAAAAAGAAAGTATGTTTAAGTCCATTAAACAGAAAGTGGAATTGCTGCAAAAAATGAATAAAGGCATAATCCTTTGATTATGTAATCATTCCGAAATATGTTTATCAATTTCACGCTGCTCTGCGGGGGGAGGAAGCGACGCAGCACGCAATGAATTGGAAGTTGATTTGTCAGCACTATCCTTATCTTCAGGGCAGATGTTTTTATTTTTTTTGGCTTATAATTCCTTACTAAATGTAGTATTTCATCTCGATGTACTCCGTCTTTGATACGATTTAAATCAAGTTCCTCGTTATTATAATTCGCTTCCGATAGTGAAGAAAGTGACACAGAGGTTATTGAAAACGAAAAAATTTCGATTGACAAATTAGTCGGTATTCTCGACACAGCAATTATAGGACTTGAACAGAGGAACTTTGTAACTGAACAAGAAATTATGTCTGTTTAGTAGAATTAAAGAGAAAGTATTATCACATGATACGAAGCAACTTAAACAACTTACATTGAAAGAAATGTTTAATAAAGCAAACAAATAAATACAAAGCTTTTTCTTTCTGTAAATTTTGATACCCTTTAGATCATAATTGTTCTTTATTTCTTAAATTACAGTTTCATATTTTTAATTTTATAATTTATGCATGCCATCTTACCAGATTTAAACTGATGATCTATAATCCAGAAAAATCGATAATCCGGAATCGCCGAAGTCCCGACGAGTGCGGATTAACGACTTTTGACTGTACTATATTCTGTAAAAAAGTATGTTACCATCAAATATAATTTCGACACTACTTTCAGTAAATCTAAACTGTTCATAATCATATGAAACTAAACCAGCAAAATTAAACACTTGCATAACAAACATATTGATTCATCTTTTTTTAATAAAAAATTGTTTTTAAAGTTCTAAAAAATATAATAATTGAACTGGTCGTCTTATTATTGTTCCATCAGAAGCTTTTCGTTCACAAGAACAAACTTTGCCGTCACAACCACAAAAAATGTATATCACTCGCCCACATTTTCCACAAAAGTTTGCACTTGTTGTTACTTTCTATTAAGACAAGATCATCAACTTTTAAATTATCATAAGAGTTAGGATTCTCTAATTAATCAGCTCTTTGAAGATCCATTAAATACTATTTTTTCCATTTAGCCTACAATTGTTTAACCAATAAATCTTGATAAATCTTTCTTTTGGTCAGAGAGAACTTGGTACGGCCATCTTTAACAATGAAGTTAAAGTTGATAGGTAGTGTAGAATCTATTTTTTCCTAAAGTCAAGAAATTTACTGGCTCCAGTGGCAATGGTTCCTTGTGGTTATTGTATACATAGGTCAAAGGATGAGAATTCAAAACAGTTTCCACTTCAGCAGCTTGTGTTAAAACTGTTGACAATTCTTCAAATGTTAGCAAAGCTTTAGCTAGAATTTTCCTTTTTTACTAATCTCTCATAAAAGAATATAAATTAGGAACACTGGAAGCCTACCCACCAAGCCCCTCGTTCTATTATAAACTTCCAATCGATTTTCTCATTCGACAGAAATTCTTGGAATTTCTCATTTGACAATAGAGAAATTTTCGAGTTCCTTTTTTCCTCTTTTAAAAGTTTTTGTGTTATCTGAATAAATTACTCAACAATTACCTTGTGAATCTTTTGAATACATCAAGAAAGAATCCATAGAGAGATTTAGTACAAGTTCCAGATGTAAGGCTCTAGGGATAGTGCAAGTAAATAATGTTACATAAGCTTTTTACTCTTCTCTAAGTTTTTACGTAAATTGGTCAAGCAAAATCGATGCTAGACATGTAGAATGGTGGTGTCTCATTGATTCTCTCTTCTGAAAGCTGAGAAGTGGTTTGGTCAGCAGATTTGAATGAATATCGTTTACAAATAAAACACTCGTTTTTTATTTTCTTGACAAACTGACGTCGTTTGGGGATCCAAAAAGGACTGCAAATTTCAGCTAAAGTCGTTGCGACTCCTCCATGCATCATTTTAATATGTGTACTTTCTACTATCAAATTTGTTAGCCAGGAGTCTCTTGGAAGAATTGCCGGATTTTTCATCATGTGACAAACTAAAATGTTCTAAACTTCCACATGCTCTCAGTATCCCGTTCTGGTCTAAAAATGGATTAAAAAGATATAAGTATGATTTTTTTCGATTTTATTCGCTTTCTTCAGAGACTCAATTTCTTTGGGATAAAAGCGTTCTCGTTCAGAATGAATGCAATAATTTTCTGCATCTGATAATTCTTCAGCTATTAATGGACCTGTTAAATAGTTTGTTTTCCTAATTTTACCAATGAATCACTTCATCCAACCAGTTATTTTCAACAATTTTATTAAATTACTATATTTTGAGATGTCTATTAGCCTTTCTTCAACTGCCATGCACACAAAGTCATAAATATCATTAGTATTCTTGCGGTCATCTAATTCTTCTTCAATGATAGATTTTTCTTCATTCTGTTGAGGCCACAATTCAGACAACATTTTAAGCCATTCTGGTCCTTGAAACCAGATAGGATTGTTTTTCAGCTGATGAAGTTTAGCTCCTCTTGAAGCCAAGTCAGTGGTGTTACACTTTCCGGGGCAATAATGCCAATTTTCTGGGGATGTTAAATTTTGTATTTCTTGAATACAATTTTTAATGAAAAGCTTAAATTTCTTTGCCAGTCTTTTATTCAGAAAAGTTTGATTTTAGAATCAGTCCAGAAAAAACAAGAAAGTTGTAACTCCAAAACTTTAATGACGGTTTCAGTGTAGGTTCATTGAGGTAATCTCGCACATAGGCCGACCAGTGTGGTGGTGTACCATCCAACTGGAGAATGAAGTTGTCAATGTCATTCCTGCAACTGTGACATCAAGCAAAGAATTAACATATTCAAAAAAGTGGCTCCGTGACTATCAAATTCGTTAGCTTGTGAAAAAAGAAAGGGCCGAACACTACCTTTCTGGACACTGCTTAGAACACATTTATGTACGGCGAATCTCAAACATGTTGCATTGTGAATTTGGAATTCTTTGTACTCCAAAAGCAAATATTATGCTTGTTTACCTTCCCATTGACCTGAAATGTTGCTTCATTGAAGAAAACCAAGCTATCGGCAAAACCGTCATTTTCAAAACAAAGCTGCATATCGACACAATATTCTAAGTGCTTTTGTTTGTCACAGTCACTCAGATTTTGCAATACCTGCACTTTGCATGAAATCATTTTCAGCTTCTTTCTCAAAATTCTCCAGACAGTGGGCTGAGAAATTTGCACTTCCTGTTTCCCCATCAGCACTGATTTTCTCAGGCTTCATAGAATGGCAGTGCAAACTTTATCGCCGATTTCTTGTAACAGTTGGTCATTTAGGATTTTCACTTTTGCACAAACAGCCCATAGTTTTTAATGCTTTCATGCTTTTTATAGATCGATTTTTTTAGTTGGAGATTCTTTTTCAAATCGTGATTGAAATGCCATAGCACAGCAGTTATGGATTCTATTTTGCTAAATTCAAGAACATAAAAAAGCATTCTCCACTGCCATTTCAACTGATAATCATGACACACACACTATTGCCTATGTCACTTCCACCAGGCACGAGACACAAACTTTAAGAGTACATCTACCTTATGGTTCATTGAGGTGGTGCATGTCTTTGACCGTTACTGTTTTACACCATTACACCATCTAGAAAATGTATACTTCTTTATGAATCACCCTGTACGTGTGTGCTGATCATATATATGCTGATTCACTTTCTTCCTTTTTATCGTGCAGTGAAAGATTGAGTAAAACAATCCTGCATTGGTATAAGAATCTGTAAAGCTGCTCAGCTATTGAAGGCATTGACATCAGAAAATAGTGCCCATGTCAAGGAGAAAATATTGAGAGATAAAAGTAAAGGAAATATCAACAGGATTGAATCTATCTAAAACCTGTTTTGCACATCACATGAACATCATCACATTCATATAGTCTCTGAAAGACTGATAAATTTACTTCTTTCAGCAATGTGGATTTAAAGAATATATCCCCCCCCCAAACGTGATTACTTTTATTTTTCCAAAGTGAGATCTGACTTTGTGGAAGGAGATTTAATGATCATGGGAGAGGTTTTGGAACATTTTGATGACGCACCTTCAGATTACTTTTTCCACTGCTCATTAAACAAGGTGAAAAGTGTATTTAAGTAGTAGATCATATATTTAAAAAAAAAAAAAAAAAAAAAAAAAAAAAAACCACTATTGCAATTTTCTCTATTTCTTTCCAAAGTATAATGAAGGGAAACATTTGAATAGATTCACAGAGTTTAGCATTGGGATAACTGCTTCTTTGACCCACTTCTTTAAATGATAGTAATGAACTCCAAATCTCATGTCGCATGTCTTCTGGGATTGAAGTATATTTGATAGTAAATGGATGTTGAATTCCACTATACCATCTATTCCACAAACTATTACAATTTGACTCACTTTGTTTGCCACTGTTTTGCATTTTAAGGTATTGTCTGCTAAGAATTTATATTGCTCCAATGGGGTAAACATTCTAATACAAAGCAGATGTCAAAAATACATTGGAAATATATTATCTGTTGGATACTTCTATATCACCTCCATTACTAATATTTAGACTACAACATGAGAATTACTAGTCATTTGGCTAATCATACAACATACTTATTACTCCACAACCCTACTTGTTAGCATCAAACATGCACCTGCTCTGTATCACACTATTCAAGCAACAGTCACTGCTGTATGGCATACATGGCACTTTCCAGGAATGTGACGTATCACACAATTGTCCAGCAACTCACAGAACCAATATGTTTGCAATATGTGCCTGCAAATACTGCAAAATGCATGCCACTTTATAGGAATAACCCAGTGAGTTGTAGGCAATTGGATAATGTAGTAGTTTGCAACTATTTTTTGTTCACATGCTTGGTTGATCTTGAATGTTTCATCACAATCAATGCTGGGAGCTCTAAGAGCTTTTCTTGTGAATTAGAAATGGGTGCATACCAAAGAAAATATTCCATAAATAATTATATACCCCCTAAACATATTTGGGGTATAGCTAACCTGAAAGCACTGAGATTGATACAAGCAATGCACACTCTGCACACACCCACACATGTACACACAGAGGACAGTTCTGTATCTTCTATTCTACTGGGCTGATAGATGAACTTTAACTAGTGTTTTCAATGTCTCAAAAGCATGATTTATGACATAGCATGATTTATAGATTTATATATAGCACTGTTCTAACACAGGCATTTCGTCACAAAACCGGACTTTTTCTAAAATGACACTGATTTTTTCCCAAACTTTGATTTTATGACTCAATTTATGCCAAAGTGCAAAGTTTTGTAAAAGGCACGAGTAATTTTTAAAATATTAGTTTTCAAAATTTTAGCTCCTCATTGTTATTTGAATTTGATATATATTTATCAATATCTGTTTTTTATTAAACTCATTTGATTATTTCCTTTGCAAGTCGAAATTTAGGTTCGATCCAAATGAAATTTGAAGGTATTTGCTGATTTATTTTTTAAATTTTTATCTTTTACTAATTTTTATAAATTTTTTGAAAAAATTTTAAAACTATAACCTATAAAATTTTTACTATCACCTTACAGTAGATGTATTTCTAGGCATACCTGCAAAAAATTAGAGTTTTTTATTCAAAATTCCCCAAAATATACATAAATGTATATATTGGTGCATTTCAAAATTTGACATATTTGTTATACACAATAATTATATACCCAATGTGGTTAATGCACTTTGTTAAAATCATTTGAAAGAAAGAATGATTCTTTCTCCTCCACTCACACACAATGAAAGGGAAAGGAAAATTACCATAAATTAAGAATTTTCTCAAGCAAACTAAAAAAAAGGCACAAAGATAAATGTTTTCCTTTTTCAATTTCTCACCAAATTATATAAAATGTAATATTTAGTCATAATTTGAGTTGTAAAATCAAAATATGGGAAAAAAGTATGTCATTTCAGAAAAAGTACAATTTTGTGTCTAAACACCTATGCTAGATCAATGCTATATATAAGTTCAATGTATATCCTATAGTGCACTTTTGAGATATGAAAAATGCATATTAAATTTCATCAACTGGTCAGTAGAATGAGAGATATGGAATTGTTCCACTTTTGTTTTGTTTTGTTTTGTTGCAGAGTGTTTCAGCTACACACAATATATAGAAGGAAGATCATACTTTGTATGCTTGTGAAAAAATTTTATCAGCAGCATTACATGTTATCTTTAATGCAGAATGACAGTATGTATGACAACTAGACAGAAATATTGCAGTTAACATTTTACATGATATTAGAACATATTTTACTTACTTTTCTTATAAAATAACATTTATTGTAAAATATTATGATGTATAGATATATATGACGAGCAACATACTTTTATAACACGGAAGATAACAAAACATCTTAGACTTCATCACCTGGTAACAGTAACTGATATTTACTTGATGCAAACAAAAACTCTAAATGTAAACAGTAATATCCCTCTGATGTTCTAAAAATTATAAGAACTACTTACTGTAATCACAGCAGTTACAGCCAGAGGTATACAAAAAAGTAGTCTGATATCAAACAAGAAAGCTCCACCCCACAAAGGGCCCAATATGCAACCAAGACTGCACATGCTCCTACGGAATCCCTGAAATAAGGCTAAAGGAGAAAAAATTTCAGCTATAAACTATTTCAGAATAATCAAGCAAATTTTAACAAATAAAACATTTAAGAAAATTGTCCAATTTAAAATTTCAGAAGAATACCTTCAATTTTTTTATTTAACCCATGATTCCCTGATCTAATCATGCATCAATATGTCACAATGGATTAATTACACATCTTCATCTAAAATACACATTTATAATTAGCATTTTTTCGGATAATGGCAGATTGCCGTTTTTCTGAATGGTAAAACATTTCAGCATCCTTATACTTGACCTTTTTAAACCATTTCCTTATATCCAAATTTTTTTTTTCATAAATTTAAATTACTGAGTCGCAGTTTTTACAGCAGATGTGAATAAACTGAATTCCTGGCTGATATCAATTTAGATATACTCATTCTGTATTTTCAAATAATACTCAGCTAAGTTTCAATACAGAATACTATACTTTTATCACTCAGCATACAGATGAATTTTTGCAACTTAAAATTTCTCCACGAAAGAGTGAAGAGAGTTAGGTAAAAGAATATGTGAAGTTTCATTCTTCTGAAAAATATGAAAAGTAAAGAATCGCTAATCACTAATCTTCATTCATTTTACACTAATTTTCCTATCCAGTGTTAGTATAAATGCATTTATTTCCTCTAAGATATGTATGGCAAAGGCATAATAGCCCTTATAAAGAATATCCTAAATCTTGCAAGCGATCTGAAGAATGCAATATTCATCCATGCAAATGACAGAACTTTGACAGCATTTTAAATGCAAAGCAAACCAATATGGATCACAAATTTCCCCACCCTAAAAGATGAATCACTTATACAGTCCCAAGGTCATAAGGTTATATATTCACTACTTCAAAGAGCAATATTTCATCATAACATCAACCTGAACAGAGTTTTGAGTGAAAATTTCATTCAAAACAGTAGAATGGAATCTGATGATTCTTCACATTTTTTGACTCAGTGATCATAAACATTATATAATATCTGTGACTGTTGAGAGTATTGGTTCTCCAAAAACTAAGGACGTTAAATCTGTGTTGGATAGCCTTTATTTAGAACAAATGAAAGAAAAGAAAGGTGACAGTGAAAGAATTATAATATAAAAGCATAAAATTATAATATAAAGCATAAATATTCTAACACAGATGGAATCCTGATATCATAAACATGAATGATTTTAAAGGTTAGTAATTTTTTATTTGAAAATTACAAAAAGCATTGACTCAAAAATATCCATAAAGTTTATTATGTACAATTTTCATAATTTGGGCATTCATTATCGTTACCTAAAATAACATTAATTAAATACAAAAGAAATTGAGCTACATAGGGTACATAGAAAATATGGTTCAGCTTCCAAACCTCATCACAGCAGTACTTACGAGTATGAGGATGCATACGTGCCTCAAATTCAGTGACTCAATGGCAAGGTAGACAACAGCTGGGAACTAGTTCATAATGTATATAATTTTTTATTAGATAGATATAATGCTTAAGAAATTAATCTAACTGCTGCATGCAAAATAAGGTCAACTATCTGATTTTCCAACGCACAGAAATATGTCAACAGCTGAAATCCACCATTAGCACATTGAGCGCCACGCGTATTTCTTAGGCAATCCTGTTCAGGCCACGTGTGCTGCTTGAAAGCGCTGGTATCGTAGAGCCAGGAGTAATGGCCAGAAAAAGGACTAAGAGAGTTGTCACATTTTGTAATAGAGAATTTTGTAACGGAGTATCGTTTTTATGTTTACCATGTTTCAGTGAAATCCATTAGCCCTGTAATGAATCAGAATTACATAAATTTTAAATAAATTTTCTGTAATTCCATAAAACAGTATAAATTTTATAGTTATATATCATGTTACACGCTGTCAGCCAGCAGCAGTCGACGTGGCCTAAACAGATAGTATCAGCCACAGATGGCTGACATGGCACTCAACGTGTTAGATTTGTGAAGTGTTGGGTGAACAGATTGCTAATGCATGATATGGAATGAAGTGAGCAACCACTGAAAATCTGATCCACACAATGGAAGCAGAGATTAAACAGTACAAATGATTCATCTTATTGAAACTTGCAGTTTGCATTTCAGACATTACTTGATCACTGTTGCCTAACACTGTATTTGAAAGGCTGCAGTTCTGCAAACTATATGCCTATTAGGTGTATACACTTACAGCAAGTCGGACATCAAAATACTGCACTAGAGATTAAGAGACAAAGCTGCTAGAAGGTTATGAATTCTGAAGGTATATAGTGATCGGGGATGAGACATGGGTGTTGTACAGTATTCTGAAGCAAAATAGCTGTTCCATAGACTGCAGACATGTCACTGCTGCAAAAACCAAAGCAATTATCAAATTTGAAAACTCCTCTGCAAGGTGTTTTGAAATAAATTAGATGCTTTGCTTGGGAGGTTCCCCTTCCCCTCAAAATATAGCATTACAATACCAATTTTTTCAGCAAAGCACTGGGAAAGTTGCATAGTACAACATAAATTAAGTGACATGACATGCTGCACTGTGCTGCTCTTTTCATTCATGGCAATGCTCAACCCTGTACTGTGCATGTAATTTGTAATTTGAAATAGAGAATTTTGTAATGGAGTATCGTTTTTTTATAAGTTGCATAGTACAACATAAATTAAGTGACATGACATGCTGCACTGTGCTGCTCTTTTCATTCATGACAATGCTCAACCCTGTACTGTGCATGTAATTTGAAAAATCTTTATGGCCTATGGTTGGGAATTATTTCCTCAATTTCCCTATAGACCAGATCTCACCCCAAGCGATTTTCATCTGTTTTTGCCCTTGAAATCTTTCTTCAAGGACCAGAGCTTTAATGGCGATGATCAAGTCATACCTTCTGTCACAAATTAGCTGGTGTAATAGGTAGAATCATTCTATAATAAGTGGATACAAAACCTTATGTCTCATAACAACTATTATTTAAACAATAATAGAAACTTTGTTAAACAGTTACTTATAGCTGCCAATCAAGGAATATAAAACACCAGAAGGTTCTCATGCAAAAATTGATAGACACTTTGCACAATTTCTTTTTTTAATGCTTTGCAGCAACACTATTTTTAAAGACCTCTAAATTGACTTAAATTCATTTTATAATTCAGATTACTGAACTACTTATTTATAATATGATTCTGATGTAAAATATGTTAAAAATTAATTTGATAATCAAAATTTTATATTCTTTGGCTAATTTCCTTTTGAAATTTTCTTATACTTTTATCCTGAGAAAATACTGACTAGAGAAGGAAACTTTCACTCATCAAACCAATTTGAAATATGGTAAAACTAAAACTAGTATTTAATGTGCATATTATTGTGTTGATAAATGCAGTAATGTATCATCTATTAATGGAAAAAAAAATAATTGCAAATATTAAATGATTAACACTTCGTGAATCTTCATAAAATATTCTACAAATGTCTATGATAATAAGACAATTTACATCAAATAAAATTTAATAATAAAAACTATGCTGAAAATCATAAGGGATGGAAAAATGGAATATGCATACTTTAAGCTCTAATTATTCAATAAATTTCATTTATTGCTGGGAAGCATTTTGCTTCGTAAGGACTAAAAATAAAAAATTGTGACTTGTGATGAAAAACCATGAGCGTTGGCAGTTGTGACACAGCAGTAAAGTATTTTGTTCAAGCACATTTGGTAGTTTTTTTTTTTTTTTTTTTTTTTGGCAAATGGAACTTACTTTTTGTACTTCAGCAGATATATTTTATTTTTTTAAACTGTATGATTTTCATCAAACTGATTGAAAAGAAGTCCTCTCATCTGCATTATGATAACTCTGACCTACATTTCCCAGTTAATATACAAGAAGAAACAGATCAAGAGAATATAATGAAAACAAAATATACAGAGTGATTTATTTTACCTTGGCTGTCTTCACTGGTTAGTTTTGACAGTAAAGATGAAGAACAGACAACAATGATGGCAATTCCTATAAGATCTATCACAACTGTGATGATGAAAAAGGGCAAAGTTTTTGTCTCGCCTGAAAAAAGTCATTAAAGAACATAACATATAATTGCATATAACTACATAAAAAGTAATGCATTACAAATAAAGAGACATGTAATTTAAATAAAACTTAGTCAGTAACACATATACATACCCCAGTTTGTTGTTCTTTGATCAAATTTCAGCAGTCAATATCTTAACTACTAATAGGATAATAATGAAATACATGTCATTAAAATATACTTATTAACACTTTTGCCGCTGGTTATGAAAGGTTGTATTAATAGTTATAAGGTATTTCTCCCGCCTTCTTGGCATGCCTTCATGGTGTGGTGGTCTGCACACTGGGTGCATATTCCAGAGGTCCACGGTTCAATTCCTGGTGAAGGTGTTGCTAATGTTTCATCTTACCTTCTTCCAAAAAATCCTAATGTCTCTACAGTGGCACCTGAACTAAAAGGGTGGTGGATGATGATTCTCCTCACCCAGGATTTGGCGATTAAGTCCCCTAAAAACCCCAGTTGCCCTTTAAAAGGGGGAGTATATAAGGTATTTCTCCCGCCTTCTTGGCATCCCTTTGTGGTGTGGTGGTATGCACGCTGGGCACGTATTCCAGAGGTCTGCGGTTCGATTCCCAGTGAAGGCACTGCTAATTTTTCATCTTACCTGCTTTCATAAAATCCTAATGTCTTTACGTAGTTATTGCCCTGACATAGAAGTAGATTGTACAAATATGCTAACTAACTTATTATGAGGAATATGATTTAAAAGAGGCAATAAAAGATGGTTATAAGCATCACACTGACTACTAAGATCTTACTTGCTTAATCATAGAATCTTATGATATTGCACCAGTGCATGATTAGCACTACAGGTAAAATTATTTAACTAATGTCACATTATGAGTTGACACAACACTAAAAAACAGATCAAAATAAGAAAAAAGTAATAATATGCATTATTTTTGTATGAAACCACATCAAGAACAAATACATATATATATATTATAAATGAATTTATAACAAAGTAATTACAATGGTAATTTTACAAACTCTATACTTCAGAACGTAAACTCTATATTCAGAATGAACTGGGAGAAATGGAACTGCTTTAATTCAAAACCATTACATGTACTGTAAGGTATTTTCTCCCTCCTTTCTGCATACCTTCATGGTGTAATGGTAGCACACTCGGTGTGTACTCGAGGGCATTGCTAATTTTTTCATGTATCCAGCATCAAAATAACCTTATGACTCTATTGTGGCACCTGAACTAAAAATGTTAGTGGATGATGATTCTTCATCATAGGATTTGGCAGTTCGGTCCCATTATCCCCAGTTGCTCTTTAAAAGAGGGAGTACATAAGGTATATTCTCCCTCCTTTCTCCATGTGGTGTAATGGTAGCACACTTGGCGCGTATTCGAGAATTCGAGGTTCGAGTCTCGGCGAGGGCATTGCTCCTTTTTCATTTCTCCAGCATCAAAATAACCTAATGATTCTACAGCACAACTAGTTTCTAACCTTCACTCCACGCCAATACTAGTATACATATTCAAAACATAATGCCGATTGAACTGCAGAATAAACAATAAAGAACTGCTTTTCCCATGCTACTGTGTGACTGGTACCTGAGGCAGCACACCACATGCCAGTTAGTGATTGGCTCTTGAATGATAATGCCATATCAGATACCAGTGCATGATCAGCAGCAAACAATTAAGAATTATTATTTATAAATTAACTAGTGGCAAATTACTATTTATATAAACAAAAATAACTAGAAGGAATTATTATTTATAAATTATAAGTTATTAAAAGCAAAGGCCAAGTGTAATTCAATTGCATTTTGTGCCTCCTTTATTGTGCTTTGATATAGCATATGGTTTTTACACCAATATATTTGAATGCTATTGAATAACACATATGTAATACAATACACAGTTTTAATTCTTTTCATTTATTAGACTCTCTCTTTTTTTAATTCCAGAGAAGAGATATACCTTTTTAATTACAAAAGTTGAACCTTTCTAATGCACTAGTCAGCATAAAAATGGTTACTCTGACTTGTTTGCTTAATAAAGTACAGCAAAGTTCACAAATGCTTCTTGCCTAAGGTAAAGGATAGCTTTAGTGAAAATTATAATAAAGTAAATATAATTTTAAAGGAAACTGGTTCAGTTTCACATTATGTATGAGATGGAAGACATTATAGTCACCAAAATTTGAACCTGGGTGGAACTATCAGTGTTCAATGGTCTTACCCATTTTACCACTGCTAGCCAAAATTCTGGTATGTTTGTTAATGTATAGTATCTTTAGGTATAACAGCCCTTTAAGTACATCAAGCTCAAAGTTCCTTTGGTAATTTAGTGGTAGAAGAAAAGGTACAAGGCTTTAGATCCTGTACTTAAGATAAAAAAAAGTATAGGCAAAAAGGTTATACTATTAGGACTTTGGCTAACAGCAAACACTCCTCTCTCTCTCTCTCTGCTGCAATGAATTCACAGACCTGATTTGACTTTATTCATATCAGAAAGACAAGCAGTAATGGCAATTAAAATGTTTCAACATAATAACTATTATATTTAATCTTGTTCAAGCCTTCCTGTTTGGTATGGTGGTTAGTGTAGCTGGCTGCCGTATCATTGGACCTTAGTTTGAATTCCAGAGAAGGCATGGATGTTTGTAAATGTTTAGTGTTTTTGTGGTATTGCGAGCATTTAAAAATTTATCAATCTATATAGAAGCTGGTGATAGAGGAAGATTAATGAACCTGGAATTATGTCCCTCAGAGTATTAAAATTTGGCTAGAGCTGAACAAAATCATCACCTATAAGATACCTACGGCCTTGGTGAAGAATAGGCACTCTCTTACTCTTGTGCATGATAAATTTCAGGCGAGAATATGTCACAACAACAGCATTCAATGAGTATGCATATTACATAAAAACAGATTTTATAAAGTTTCACTTACCAGGTATTGCAGATGGAATAAAAAAGACTGGTAAAACCATTGCCACACATAGAATCACCAGTCCAAATATTATAAGACATCTGTCTGATATTTTCCGGCTGATGTATTTGATCATTGAAAATACTAGTATCACCTGCAATTTAGATAAGAAAAATTTAAGCTTGTAGAATGGAAGTTAAAACATCTTAGGTCGACATGCTATGCTTTTTTCACTGATACAAAAATAATTAATAAAATCTTTCAGCATGCAGAACAAATAACCGAAATTCATCAACAGTACTGCAATAAAATACATGGAAAACTATGTTTGAAATTCTTAAAATAATATAATACAGTCAAAAGTCGTTAATTCTGACACCCATAATCCGGAATGATCTATAATCCGGACCTCAAAACTAAAAACTTTCTGCGCATGCGCTGCATTGACACATGCGCATAGGTGTTTACGCGTGCGCGTAAGACCTTTACGACTGCGCATATGTGTGTGCGCAAGTGCAGAATACGTTTTTGCATGCGCGTTTAATGTATAACGGACGGTATAAGCTAAAATTATCTAATTATTTATTTCAGTTAATGTTGCATGATTGCGTTGTTCCTTAATCTTCTAATTGGAATCCGGGCTTATTATTTTTTGCAGACTGCAAGAGCAATTTTATAAAAAGTAAACTTGAACTTTCGATTATGTCAGAATAGAATTTCCGATTCTGGAGCTCCCGAAGGATCTACAAAACGAAAGTACGTATTCCGATGTCCATCAAACAAAATGGTGGAATTGCTGCAAAAAATGGATAAAGAGCATGAAGAAAGGTGACAGAGAAGGTTAGTGAAAAACGAAAAAAAAAAAATTTCGATTGATAAGTTAGTCGGTATTCTCGGCACAGCAATTACGGGTCTTGAACAGCGGAACTTTGTAACTGAACAAGAAATTACAGTGTCTCAAAAAAGTGATGGGACACTTTGCTTTACAAAAAGAATTGTAATAAAATAAATTAAAAAAACATGTAAAATTTTTGTAGGTGTTTCAGCTTAAATTAGTAACAATTATTACATAACATACATTTTTTTCAAAATATTAAATATTAATTAATAAAAATACAATGTTTAGAACGGAGCAAAAAATGGCTCAATAAGTGATGGCACACTAGGTACTATGCAACAAAATCGTCTGAAGTAAGCAATAAAAATTCTTTTGGGGTATTTATTTTTACTCAAAAGCAATTGCCAATAATTTATAAAATCGTCTGCGTATTTCTCTCCATTTGGTTTGGAATTTTTGTGTTTTTTAGCTCTGTGCAGCTGAATGCTAAACGAAAAAAACTTTGCCTGAAATCGAAAAATTAGTTATTAATTTTCATATTGAATGTGGAAAATCTATTAGAGAAACATCTGAAACAAATAACTTGAGTCCTTCAACAGTTTTCAATATCATTAAACGATATAAAAGAATCATATGATCCAAGATAAAAAGACCTGGCCGACCATCAAAAAGATCCCATGGATAAAGCGAATTATCGTTCGTCGAAAATATTAAAAAAAATCCAAGAATGAGTGCTCCTAAAATTGCTGCTGATTAAAAGCATAATATGGAGTTAATGTTATCCTGAGACTATTAGAAAAAGTAATTCGATCTACTGGATATCACGGTAGAGCAGCCAGGAAAAAATTCTTCGTAAGTGAAAAGAATAGAAAAACTCAGACTGCCTTTCGCAAAATCCAACATAAATAAGAATTCTGATTACTGGAATGAAGTTATATTTGCTGATGACAGTAAATTTAATATCTTTGGTTCTGACGGTAGAATCTTGGTGTGGAGAAAACCCAGGGAAGAATTTTGCAAACAGAACTTTGGTGCCAACAAAACATGGTGGAAGAGTTATGGTATGGGTGTATGTCGTCCGCTGGAGTTGGTAATCTTGTTTTTATTGACAGTATAATGAATCAGTACAAGTATATTGACTTTTAAATCAAAATTTGAAATCTTCAGCACGAAAATTGAACCTTCATAACAATTTTAAATTGTACCAGGACAATGACCCTAAGCACACTGCTTTGAACGTTAGACTCTGGCTGCTGTATAACTGTTCTGAAATAATAAAAACACCACCACAATCTCCAGGCTTAAATCCCATAGAGAATATTTGGCAAGAATTAGAATCAAGAATTCGCAAACACCCCATTTCTTCAAAACAACAATTAAAATCGGTGCTTCAAGAAGAATGGGGTAAAATCACTCCAGAAATCACAAAAAAATTAGTGGAATCCATCCCAAGAAGATTATATCATGTTTTAAAAGGAAAAGGAAATCCAACAAAATATTAAAACCTTTAAAAAGTAAAATTTTTGGGATAAAATATTTGATGGAAAAGTAAGTGTTCCATCACTTTATGTGTGCCATTTTTTTTGCTCCGTTCTAAACAATTGCATTTTTATTAAATTAATATTTTAATATTTTGAGAAAAAATGGTTATGTAATAATTGTTACTAAATTTAAGTATCAAACACACCCACAAAAATTTTTTATTGTTTTTTAAATTTATTTTACTACAGTTTCCTTTTGTAAAGCACAAGTGTTCCATCACTTTTTTGAGACACTGTATGTCTTTTTATAGAATTAAAGAGAAAGTATTATCACATAAAACGAAGCAACTTAAACAACTTACATTGAAAGAAATGTTTAATAAAGTAAACAAATATATATTAAGCTTTTTTTTTTGGAAATTTAATATCCTTTAGATCATAATTGTTCTTTATTTCATAAATTACGGTTTCATATTTTTAATTTTAGAATTTATGCATGCCATCTTACGAGATTTAAACTGATGATCTATAATCCGGAAAAATCGATAATCCGGAATCGACGAAGTCCCGACGAGTCCGGATTAACGACTTTTGACTGTATATCAAACTAACTGAAAGACCTGTGATTCACATCCTAGTGAAAGCATTGTTGATTTTTCATGTTTCTCATTCCCAAAATTAATAATCCCTGTAGTAGCATTCAAATTAAAAATGCAGTGGATGATAATTCATAAACACCTGAATTTGATCAACTGGATTTCTTCGTGCCTCATTCTTTAGGAATTAATACATCCTATTGTGATTTAAATGGTTCCAGCTAGAAATTGGAAGATCTATGATTCAAATCCTAAGCAGGTCATGGTTGTTATCTCGGGTTTCTCATCTGTAAAATTAACATTAATTATAGAGGCACAGAAATTTAAAAGATGATAAAGCTAACTTATTACCACCTGAGTCATAAGTAGGAGTGATTAAATCCCCTTTTGCACTGCAAGTGCCTCGCACATCAGGTAAATAATTGGAAGACCTGTCGTTGGAAACCCAAGAAGGATACAGTTCACTTTTCATGTTTTATTACTTATGAAATTAGTTTTCTCAATCACAAAAATAAATTTTTACAGATAAAGATATACAGATAGTGCATGCATAAGTTTGACTTGTAACATTGCTTTCTTCCAACACATTAGCATGCCATGAGGATAATGTGTATGAGATACAAATTTATATGATGTGTAACTCTAACATCAATTACACAGTATCAGTTGACACTGGAATGCCTCAAATATTAGGTATATCATACTCTTGCTAAAATATTGTGGACATGCCCTTCCCCACAAACCTTATATACCTTGTTCTAGCAATTGCAAACAATATCATATGTCTCACTCTGCTTTATTTACATATTATGCATCCCTGAAAGCATTGTAGTAATTATTGCAGGGAATTATGCAATTCCCCTTATGATCCCAAAAAACACTGATGTTCTACAAGAAAAATGATTATTTTAAATCTTAATGTTACATATGATGAAACTCAGACATCTTTTAATATATTTTTGGCCTGAATAACATGAATTTTAGAATAGCATTTAAAAGCAAAAAATGGTATGTGTGTGTTGAATTTACACAATTTATCTCAGATTCAATAGACTACTCACATCATTTCGTGCAAAGAAACTCTCAAAAGATTTATATCTCAAAAGTTCTCTTTGATACGGCAGATGGCATGAATTCTCATATAAACTAAAACTAAAGTACTAATCTTCAGTTTTAGTGCTTTAAAATGAATGAAAAAAGTAAAAAAAAAAATTGCTCTCTTATGAAAAGCTACAAAGATGATTATCACCTTTTTGGGTATATAAGACCATGTAGAAACCTTTGTTTTCACATATAGTAGAATTTAAATGCTTCTTGCCAGATAAATATTTGAAATACATGGTGGCACACAAGAACTGGCCCAAGTACTTGTACAGATAAATGCTAGCTCCCATTATCCATTTCATTACAATGGTATCTAGATTATTTCTTTGTCAGTACAAAACCCTTAAAGACAAAGGAAGGAATTCAGTGAGACATATTATCTTTAACAAAGAATTGCAATAGCTCCCAGTATGCAAATGGACCAGTTTGTCATAAGCTACCATATATTGCCTGAAATCAGAAAAAGATACAGTGGAAACATATCATTCTGCCTAATGATAATGCAAGTTCACACACAGGATTTTCAAGCTATCCATTATATGAAGAATGAAAAAAATTAATTTGATTAATCATTATTCATATTCACTTGATTTTTTTCTTGCTCCAAACAATGACACAAACTGTATGGTCACTAATTCAACAGCTTAAAAGAAGCAGCTGAAACTTATAAATCATATACTTTAGCTATTCATATTTCTGAAATGTTAAACTGTTTTTAAAATGGTTTTATGAAATAAAAAATTGTACTGATACTCAAAGGAAATATTTTAAAAAATAATTAAATGACTTATTTCCATACAAAATCATTCTACATCTTATTTTCTAAAAACTTATGTACTGACATGAGTGTAATAACATTTAACTATTATAAAAAATCTGATGTGGACACCACGACTTCCTTGTATGGCCTATTAAGTTATACACATTTTTTGCTGCATTTTATATAAACATATTTCCTCAAATTTAATTTGAGATATATTTCTCATTCAACTAATTCAGTTCTCACTCTGCAGCAAAGCAAAAATACATAAACACTCAAAACATCTTCATTTAAAATTGTAAAAAACATAAAATACCAAATGAAGTTAAAACAATTAAAAAAACAATTGTTAGAATTAGAGTTCCTATGCAAAAACAAGAAATTCAGCCAGCGGGTAAGAAGGCAGATTTTTCAGTGCACAAAATTGAAGTTTACTTTTGATCCCACTTGGTAAAGAGACATTGAAGATGCAGAAACTGATTTAATTCACTTCAAATGCAAACAGATGGTTGTTCATTAGGCTCAACTCACCACTTAAACTTTTAAATTATTGATAGCTCTACATCTATTGCATGCAAATTAACTAATGTCATACAAACCACATAATTCAATCACTTTTAAAACAAAAAATGTACTATTTACCAACATATAAGAATAAAAAAATTAAGCTCACAAAGCCAGGTAACAGGCTGGGTATATACATATATATATTTATGTACTATTGGTACAGACGAGTGCAATGAAAAAGGGAGATACACAACTACATGTTACAGCAATCCGATACTCGTTCTTGAGTTATGCAAGATGCATACAATGTACATACGTAGAGACATCACGAAAAATTCTCTTCTGAATCCATTTTACAATCTTTTTTGGCAAAAACAGTACTGTATTCTGTTTGTACATATAGATGTCATGCAAAAAAATTGTTCAAATGTTTTCAAAAGTGGCTGAAATATGACACTCGAAATTTTTTCACTATTACAGTACTTCCTTTACTTAATAAAAGGAAGTAAAAAATGCTTAATTCTATGGCTTTTTTTTTTTACTTTTTAAAGTAAAATAACTACTTTAAAATTATTTATAAAAATTAAGTTCTCAGATTTAATAATTTAAAAACTGAAATGCATTATGCCAGCTTTAACAACAACATAAAAAGCATTCACATTGGGAAAAAGAATTCAATTAGCTGGCTCGTATTCCCATTACACATGTGGAAAATGTAGAAATCTGATATAGGCATGCTGTGTTATCACCAAGAATCAGAATCCATAAGGTTGCATCATACATTCAAAATATTTTGGAAAATCAATTCTTTAGAACAATTTTTCTGCTTTGATAATGATATGAAACAGCCAATCACTGTAGATCGCTTTGGGATTACCATGTAAATGAGAATCTACTTCCCCATTACAAATGGGGGATTCAATGCTGACAGCTCGCTGGTTGTTGAAAACGAATGTGATGTCTGATACTCCCTTTTTTAGGGATGCATTTTTCCCTCTGAAAAATATATGCATTCAAAAATCTGAGATATTTTAGCTGCATACTTTTTTTTACATCTTTACAAAATATAATAAACATACATCATTAAAATAATACCTCTATTCCAGCAAATAAGTAGATATAACTATTATCCATCTCATTAAAATGATAATACTTCTGTGCAAGAGGAGTAACAACAGTCTGCAATAAATAAATGAAATAAAAATAAATAAATCATTTGGAGATTAGATGGAAACATGCCACAACAGAGCAACTTATAAAACAACTTAGACATTTCTTAAAAATTTTATAATATGATAAGCATTCTATAACATGATAAACATAGCAGATACATATTCATTTTAAAATTATTCCATGTAATGGTACCTTTTTTAAACATTTTATAATAGGAGAAACATCGCAGATACATATTCATTTTAAAATTATTTAATTTAATGGTAAATTTCTATAGATCTGAAGACCAAAAAAGTAAAGAAGTAAAGCATTTAATCATAAATATTTTTCATATAAAATCATTCTTATTTACTTTTGTTCGTCACATTCATTTATTTTTATAGATTCTTCAACATGCACATTGTTCTATATATAGAAACATTACTTTGACAATAAATAAAAAATAAACATATTTCTGTATGCAAAAAATTTAATTTACAAATTTGTAAGTTCATAGAAAGTCCCCAAAAACTTTTCTTCCACATAAGAGAACATATGCAAGGAAGAAAAGAGACAAAGTATCTTACAATAAGATAATGAATTTATAATAAATCTGAATACTCATAATCAGAACTGTGAAATGTATTTTTGACAACGTACTATGAAATATATAAAATGACAGCAAAATAATATTTTCCCTAAAAAGATAGAACAAAAGAATACCAATTGAGTAAGAAGAGATATATAACAAACTTTTAAAATATCAAAAACAAATCAGATAAATCATAAACAAGAAATACTGTATTTTTATTAATCTAACAAATATATATCATAAAATTAGTTTTGACGAAGAAGATTAAAAGGTGCTCTTTCCCAAATAGAATGGGTATTTGCGAAAGTATTACTTTGTATTTCCATTACTTTATATTTAAAATACTGTAAATTCATTATAATGATCAGCAATAAAATTTTATCCTTAAAAAATGTGTATAAAAAAGGGGGTGTCTTATACGGCGGCAAATACAGTAAATTTCAGGTGAGTAATGTGATATATCTGCAGTTTTTGTATTAAAAAATCATATTAATCTTAATTTATGAAATGATCAACACATTTCAAAACTGCATCCCTAATTTTTAAATTAATAAAATTTATGACAAATTGCTTATGTTAATAAACTGTAAAATAATTATTAAAAGTAACAGTTTGAATAATGCATTAAAAACATATGAATAAATATAATTATATGAAACTGCAGAAGAAAGCAAAAATAAACATATATTTCTTTTTTTTTTTTTTTTCTTTAATTAAGGAAATTGTTTTTTACTTCATTTGTTTGCACTAAATAAAAATAAAATGAAATAGAAGAATACTTTTTTGAACTACTTCTGCAAAGTATTTTAATAATTTGTGACAAAAAATGTAAAAGATGTTTAGATGTATTCATTATTTCTATATACATGATATGTGTACATAATATATGTATATTTAGCAGACATAGGCAAATATGATTTCTGAGAAATGATTCATACCTTTTTAACAATGAATGATTGCTACACATATGTGTCAAATAAAGTAAATATTATGTTCAAGTCCTTTCATATAATTTGTGTAAAAACAATAAATTAAAATACTTTTTAACTTGTCCTTTTATTCTTGTAAAGTCCACATTTAGCAAACATGTTTTACTATTTCATACGCTTTTCACCCCCTATAAAGAATTTTACAAAATTATTAAAAGCTCATTTCATCCTTACCGAACAAAAATAATATATATAATCAAGATAACATATCAAGAATTCTTTATCAGAAAAATTAGCCTGATATTTACAATTTTTAAATGCAGTGTTAAAACTGAAGTTGTGACTGAACTCTTTCCCTATCCAGCCGAAACAAAGTCCAGTGATTTAGCAAAAAAAGCTGCGAAGAAAAGAATATAAGACAAAAGAATCTGGAAAAACTCATACTGCCCAAGCCTAACATAAGACATTCAAATAGCTGGCTCAATGTGCTGATACTATGCAAAGACTATGGAAAAAAATTCTCAATTTCTTGTAAAACTTTAAAAAGATATATCACTTTTTATGACTACAGGTTAATGTGTAAAAACAATAAATTAAAATACTTTTTAACTTGTCCTTTTATTCTTGTAAAGTCCACATTTAGCAAACATGTTTTACTATTTCATACGCTTTTCACCCCCTATAAAGAATTTTTACAAATTATTTAAAACTCATTTCATCCTTACCGAACAAAATAATATATATAATCAAGATAACATATCAAGAATTCTTTATCAGAAAAATTAGCCTGATATTTACAATTTTTAAATGCAGTGTTAAAACTGAAGTTGTGACTGAACTCTTTCCCCTATCCAGCCGAAACAAAGTCCAGTGATTTAGCAAAAAAAGCTGCGAAGAAAAGAATATAAGACAAAAGAATCTGGAAAAACTCATACTGCCCAAGCCTAACATAAGACATTCAAATAGCTGGCTCAATGTGCTGATACTATGCAAAGACTATAGAAAAAAATTCTCAATTTCTTGTAAAACTTTAAAAAGATATATCACTTTTTATGACTACAGGTTAATTCAACTGAAGTCTAATTTGGAATTATTATTAAAAAAACATACCTATAAACTTTTTGTAAGATATAGTAGATAATTTTAATTATACGTATTTATCATTTTGTTGAAAAATGTTATAAAAAATATTTTTCAGCACACAGTTGAAGAAATTAATATATTTTTTAATTAATTGAGTATAAAAATTTTAAGAAGCTGATAATTTTTAGAAATGTATCTTAAAATAGTTCAAAAGAATACTTTTGAAAACATACATTCAATACATGCATACATTTAAATCCCTTTGTGAGGTGTTTTAGCAGATTAATCTTCCAAACTAAAATACTGTAAGACCAAAAATGAAATAAAATAAAAAGGAAACAAAATGAGAAAATAGAAAAAGAAATGTGTAAAAGAAATTAAACAAGAAATAATAACTCAACATAAAAAAGTAACAGAAATGAATAACTTTAAGGAAAGAAACTGGAAAAATTAACAATTAATTATATTACAAGATAAATCTAAGAACATTAACAAAAAGTACACAAATAATTAAAACAATTCAGAATATTTTTTAAATTAAATATTTGAAGATGTTTCATTATATATGAAACACAGAATATGTATTTTATAGCATTTATTACAATTTACATTATTAAAACAGTTTTGATTTTTTTAACTAAAAAACGTAACTGAATAAATGTTAGATTAGCATAAAATTTTCAAGTTGACAAATTTGGGGATACAGATGCTTTTAACAATACTTCCTAAAAGAAATAAACTCAGATTTGCAGCCTACATAGAAAAAATGGCACATGGTTTTTAAAAGCCTACCAATTTGTTCGAGAACACAGCTTTAATTAAAAATGTCCCCATTTGGAAAGTTTCATCCAATCATTCATTTATATTATTTCAAGTCCTGAGGTAAATGATAAAAAAAAGTCTTACCTCCAGCACAGTTTGTGAAAAGCAAGATATGAATGCTAATCCCAACAAGACTACTATTTCATCTTTAAAATAATCTGAAAATGAAATAAAACCTTCAGAATATGGTGTTCAGTAAGTTCTAAGCCTAAATATAAATATCGTAATATATTTGGGGTGAAAAATATGGTAAAATGATTGCATCATCCTATAGAAGTATATAAAGGAAAGCTTACAAAGAAAGTATTATTATTTAAATTTGAAAATCTGTTAGATGTTGTCAATCATTGATATCAGTTAATGATGAAAATATCAATCATTCAATGATTGCATTTTTGACTAAGGAAGGCATGACAATGATAAATATTTATGAATGGCTACAGACTATGCAGATACAGTATCTTTGTTGGAAATGGCATTACTACTTCAACCAATCAAAAGCCAAAAAGAGACTGACATTGCTGAACATAATGTTCTGGCACCAAAAAACTAACATGTAGTTGGCAATTAATATGAATGTTGTGTATTTTCATCTATTTTGTATATGTGCATACATAAATGTTTTTAGTGTTAAACTGTATTAAGTGCTCCATTTATTATAAGGTAGCTATTAATTCATCAGGTAGACGATGATTTCTTAATAATCTATTTCCTGAGCTAGACATTGTTTTGAAATGTGCATCAATGCTATGTATTAAACATACAATCAATCTTCCTAAGCAGGATTGGATTTTTTTCAGGATAGTGGTAAAAACAAGGGAAGGAAGAAGGAACAAAAGGCAAGAAACTGGGGGGAATTAACAATGCACCCATAGAGCTCTAAGAGGAATAAATTTATTAATAACAGTTTAACTTATTTGAAAATAAATGCTTTATTATTTTTTGTAATAAAATACAAAATAATTAAATAACTTCCCTAAAAAAATCTAGTGAAAAGTCTGGTAGTATGATACAATTCATATTCATTTCCAATACACTGTGTTAATGATTAAGCATAATCAATTTTTTATAATCAATTCTATTTTAATTTTTGCTCTTTCTGAATAAATATTGTTATTGATTTTCTATTTATTTTAGCTGTTTTTAGTAGAATTATAATTAAAATTGTTTTATATCCCTGTGCAATGTAGCACGAGACATATTTCAAGAGACAGCTACACCGGAAAAGTAAAAATAAAAGAGCATGCGCATTCAATGTTTAATAAATAGATATCTCGTAATTTATATTTAAATTGAATAAATGTAATAATTCTACCCTTTTGCTTTCCAGAAATCTCGCAAAAACAGATATTACCAGAACTTTCTTGCAAGCGATTCAAATGCTTTAAAAAGCTGGAGAGACACATCTCAGCTCATTTGTTGTTTACTTAGCTACTGTAATTTGTTGATAGGATTAGCTTTCTCTGCACTGTGGATTGCATTCTATTTAATGTTTTAGCATTTAAAATATAAAACAACTGTGTGACATTGTACAATGTTGTATGAATATCTTTGAGAAAAAATTCAGCATTTTTGTTATATTTCTTGTGATACAAATAAATTTTATTAACTTTATATCGGACTTGTGCATTTAATCTGTTACGGACCCGTATGCATGCAACACTTTTTGGTGTCAGGAGTGGGGTTGAATGCCAAACACAAGAGCGATGGAAGAACAATGAAGATAGCTTGTCGCTGCTTTTGCTGCATTCCAAGAAAAGATGGAAGCTCGCCATGGATTGTTTAAAGAAGAGATTAAAGCGAGAGAAGATCCATTAACGAAGAGATGAAATGCTCAAGAAAAGATGGAAGAATCCATTAAAGAAGATATGAGAATCATTCAAGGAAAGATTGAAGAAAACCAAGAGGAAATAAAAAATAAAATTACCTGCATAACAGAACACAAATCAAGGCTATGGAAGGGAGAATAAACGCTGTTGAAAACAGAGTTGGACAAATTGAAGAAAGAGCTTCTTCTGTAAAAGAACAAATAGAAGGAAGAGTTTCTGCTGTCTAACAACAAATCGAACAACAAATTGGTGAGGATTTCTGGAATCCTCAAAGAAGTTGATACCTTGAAGAAATTCGTAGTGATGGCAAGGAGCAATGCAGATGGTTTAAAATTTTTACCGATGCCTGCTCGTCCCTCTCTGAAGCTATCTACATATGATGGGAAGACCTCTTGGCAATTGTATAAGACACAATTTTCAATAGTGGTGGAAGCAAACGGATGGGATTCCCAAGCTAAGGCCTGTTATCTCACCACTTCTCTGAGAGCATATACAGAGGATATCCTTCAAACTCTTCCAGAAAACCAAAGGCTAGATTTCAAAGCTCTATCCGGCACATTGGAGCTGCACTTTGGGGAGAAATGTTTGAGAGACTACAGCAGGCTTCAATTAAAATCCCATCAACAGAAGCCCACCCAAACACTCCAGGAGCTCGCCATGGATGTTGAAAGGTTGGCTCATCTCACCTTTTCAGAGTGCCCAACAAAAACAAGAGAAGTCCTGTTCCTGCAATACTTCATTGACAGTATACAAGATCCTGAAATACAGAATAACGGATGTCAAGGACTTAAAAAGCGCTCTAGTGTATGCCATGAAAGTCAAGGTAGCTCAGCAAGTGACTCGTAGAGACTGCCACCCAATCAGAGCTGCTCAAGTTCACAAAACAGTGGATCAAGTTATGGCTCGTTTCGATGATTTATACAGGCAAGTCAAAGCTTTGATACAGAATAGGAGTGAGAAGAAATTGACTCTAAAGTGCTGGAAATGTGGTACTGAAAACCATGTTTGAAAGAACAGCAGAACACAGTAGAGCATGGAAAATATGACAGACGATTTAAACAGGGAGGTCAATGCTTTGAGATGGAATAAGAGTGAAAAAAACCAAAGTTCTGGAACTGCAGTGCTGAAGGCCAAGTACAGAGGAATTGCAGAAGACCCCAGGACATGGAAAATAGGACTAATCCACAGCAAGGACACTGATCTCAAGGACTTAAAAAAGTGTTCTGGTGTATGCCTCAACTGGATTTACTCCAAGGACTGGTAAAATATTTTGGTACGTTCTCACAGACCGGTAAGTTTAATAATTCGACCCATTGGCACAATTTTTTCACATAAATTGTATTGTAATGTAGGTGCTGTTGTAATATCGGTTGTCGGACAATGACACTTTTGATTTTGGGGCAGATAGCTGGATATTTCGTGGACTGGCAAATATATCTTGCAGACCCTTCCCGGTCTGCGGACCGGCGATTGAGAAACACTGGTGTATGCCCTGAAATTTGAGGCAGCCCAGCAAGCAACTAGCAGAGATCGACACCGAATCAGAGCTGTTCAAGTCCATGAGCAGTGGATCAAGCTGGCTCATTTAGATGATTTAACAAGAATCAATGCTTTGATATAGGAAAGGAGTGAGAAGAGCGACTCTAAAGTGTTGGAAATGCGGTGCTGAGGGCCACGTATGAAGAAACTGCAGTACACTCTAGAGCACAGAAAATAAAACAGATGATTTGAAAAGACAGCTCAATACCTTGAGACAGAATAGTGAGTGACAAGAAACCATCCCTAAAGTGCTGGAACTGCAGTGGTGAAGGCCACGAACGAACGAACTGCAGAACACACCAGGGCATGGAAAATAAGACCATTTCCCAGCAACTACACAGGAAACAAATTAATAGCCATATCACAGAGAGGAATTTGAATGATAATGAGAAGCCCCATTTTAAAGCACTACAGATTTCTGCAGTGAGTGGTGGAAATAATGGACTCTTCCAATCATGGAACATGTCAATGGAGTTCCCTGCAATATGGTGATCGATACAGGAGCGAATGTTACCATCATTCGGAAAGATTTAGCTCAACAATTTAAAGCTGAACTCATTTGGATGGCATCCTGTGTTACCTTCCAGACTGTGACTGGTGATAAAATTGACATGGATGAGAGTTAAACATAAAACATCACGTTTGGAAGTGCCGCCTACTATCACACGGCATATGTGGCAGATATTACAAATGCTTTTATATTGGGCCTGGACTTCCTAAGGAAAAACAATTTTCCCTTGGACTTTAAAAATAACGAACTGCATTCAGCCTCTGAGGACATAATTATCCATTGTCAGAAGGGATCCTTTCATGGAAATGTCAAGACCCTGTCTGAGCTTGCCCGGAAAACTGTCGATATTGTTCCAGGGCCAAAGCAAAATACAAACTGCTTAAACCGGTCACGCGACAAATTACAACATCAACATCAGCTGATCGAGACCCATGGAGTGATGATGAAGCCAGGAAAGACCAGCTGGGAGATTGCGACATAAAACCCATAACCGACTTAATGGAGTCCTCAAACCGAAAACCTACCTGGCAGGACATTTTGATCTATAGTCTGATGACAAAACAATACTGGGCTCTCTGAGACTCGCTCCACATTCGGAACATTGTCTTGTACCGGAAATTCGAATCGGATGATGGAAAGACTTTCTGATGGCCGCTGATACTTCCAAGATCCCGGATGTCCTCACAGAACTATATATAGCAGCCCTACAGGAGGTCACTTAAAAATAATGAAGATCTTGCAGATAGTTTGAAAACATTTCTACTGGAGTAATGCAAAGGATGATGTGAAAAAGTGGTGCCTATCTTGCAACACCTGTCCAGATCGAAAAGGACCGAAATGCAGCTGAGGCAAGTTGCAATGTTACAATGTAGGAGCCCCTCTTGAATGTATCACCTTTGACATCTTGAGATCTCTGACACAAACTGCTGAGGGCAACAAATACATCCTCGTTGTCATTGATTACTTCGCCAAGTGGCCTGAAGCATATCCTATTCCTGATCAAGAGGCTGTCACAGTAGCAGAGATAATGATATAGCACTGGATTTCCAGGCTTGGAGTGCCTCTTCAACTACATTCTGATCAGGGAAGGAATTTTACCTCAGCTGTAATTAAAGAACTCTGCAAGCTACTTGGCATTGACAAAACCCAAACAACACATTTACATCCTCAGTCGAATGGCATAGTAGAGAGGTTTTAATCACACCATCCTTAATGACCTCTCATTGGTGGTTTCCAAGAACGAACAGGACTGGGACAAGAAGTTATTGTTTTTACTGGC